TGCTGGCTGCGCCGGGTGCATTCACAGCTGAGCACACTGTCGCAGTGTTCCACTGAGCATTACGGGGACTATGAAAAGCAGTACATGAACGCCAGGCCTGTGTGATACGTAGCCGCTGCTCCTGAGCAATGGCACTCCAGAGGTGCAGAAGCACAGGAGGGCAAGCCCACGTTAAAAGTGGTTCCCCCAAGTGCCTCTTGAAGTATCATCCTTCTATCACGAGGCGTTTGCAGACCTTGGCCTCCTCCCACGCCCCGTTTATAAACAGCAGTGTCTGTGTATCAAGAAAAAACAAGCTTAAGGAGCTGGAGACTTCCTGACGCCCCGCAGGCCCGCTACAACTCCTCAGCGTCAGACCCCGGCCCAGACTGTCCCTCACGGGCCCACTGGTGGCAGTCGGGTTGGGGGTGGGTGGGTGGGGGAGTGTCCTCTCCTACCTTTGCCTCTATCCCACTCCCGAATATATGGCACTCCTGGCTTGGTGTCCTTCCTCTCCTGGACGATGACTTCCACTTTGCTGCTCTGAGCAGTGATGGGGGGCACTGGCACGGCTTCTGGTTCTGCAGCCAAAGGCCCAATACTGTCTTCAGCTATTTTCACGAGAGGGAATAAGACACTGTTAAGAACCGACTCCACGACACCTAACCACAACAAAGGAAAGCCTGGACCTATTTTTTTAAAAGCACTGACGGGAACATGCTAGTCTGAGGATAAAAGTAATAACCAGCGTTTGCCTGTCGTCCTAGACTGGGAGCTACGGCTTGGTATACCGTATTTCATTCGTTCTACAAAGTTAGCCTTACGTTCCCATTACGTAGACCAGGCGTCCTCAAACTACGGCCCGCGGGCCACAAGTGGCCCGCCGAGGACATTTATCCGAACCGCCGGGTGTTTTTGCCCCATTTGCTTTTTTACTTCAAAATAGGATTATGTGCAGGAATTTGTTTATAGCTTTTTTTTAACGATAGTCTGGCCCTCCAACGGGTCTGAGGGACAGTGAACTGGCCCTGTATAAAAAGTTTGAGGACCCCTGACATAGACTATGACAACGAAGCTCAGATAATGACATAAGTGGACAGTGACAGGAGCTAGGAGTCAAGCCAGGTTGGATGGATTTTTAAACTCGGTTTGCCACCATGCCACTTGGCTTCCCTCAATCGATAATCGAAGACTTGAAATTCCCAAGTGACTCCACTAAAGTAAGCGTCTCAGACAAACCAGGGGCGGGGTGAGGAAGAGCTGCAGCTCGGAATGGGCTCATGCCAGGTCTCCAATGTGGCCTTTGGGTTACTGTCTTAAATGTGTGTTTTTAAAATACTGTGGTAGCACTTCACATCTTCTGCAATTGGCAGATATTCAGAAGATAGAGCAAAAGCAGAGAAACAGTATGCAGAATTTACCGTAAAGTAATGACATTCACAAGAAAGTAGAAAAACAATTTTTACGTTCCTAAATGTTTAGGGCCTCTTTTCCTTCAATTTTGTTCAGAGGCTGGACAATGGCTATGGGTTTACACAGGCTTTTGTGTGAGTGGGGCAGGATCTATTTGTCTCCTAGCACTGATAATGCCCTTCTTCCTTGTGCAAAAACTTTCAAGTCTCAATTAGGTATGTGGTCACCTCTCCAGCACGGTCATTCCTCAGGCTCCTCTGCAGCTGGGTGTGGCCTGTGGACCTTAGTTCTGCCCAATGGAACGTTAATGGACAGGACTGCAACTTCCATTCCTCCCTCCTCTCTTCCCCCATTCACCCCCTTGGGTGAATCACACAGGTATTGGGAAGTAAGCGCTAACTGAGCAGATACAAGCAACCCTCTACAGAATGGCACAAACAGCAAGGCAGGGGAAGGCCCGGGTTTGGATGCCCAGACCCAGACTCAGGTCACACCACCACAAACCAGCCCAGGAGACCCTCCAACCTCTGAACTCTTAGGACAAAGACACAGATGTCCACCCTACTTGACGCTGCCTACTTAGGGGCCTCTTTGTTACAGCAGCTTCGTCTCTATTAGGAAAATGAACACAGTAAGTTACTTCAACACAGTGTTTTGACAGTATTTCCAAGGGACTATGTGCTCCACATTCCAAATCACCAACTTTGCGAGCACAATGCTTTGGACAGGGTTGTTAACCTAAATTCTTTATTTTACCATCTGATTTTGTGAATGTAGTTATTCTTTTAAAAAGAAAAATACATAATAAACAACAAAAACTATAGCCATAACAAAAAGTTTGTCTAAAGAGTATATGTACACAGCTAAAATTTCTTAAAATCTCTAAGCCTCAGTTCCTAAAAACTGTGCTATTCTCGGATACAACTCAAGTTAATATCCTGGCCTACAGCTTAAAAGTGTGTGTGTGTGTGTATTAATATCATTTCATATTACTTTGGTTATAAAAACTGCTCTAGGCAATATCTCGCATGATACTTCTTGCTTAGAAAAGAGAACAAAAGGCTAATCTCGTAGTGCCAGCACTGTGACTGAGATCGCAAGGGAATTAAAGTCTTTCCTGCTGAAGTGTAAGATGAACCATGACATACCCCCGTTTTCTCTCTCTGTTCCATCTCCATTGGACTGTTTCATCTTTTTCTGTCGGAGCTTGGCAAGCCTTGCTTCTAGCACAGCCTTTCGCTTTTCCTTTATGTTTTCTCGCTTTGTTCTCTGGTCTGTTGTCTGAACAGAACAGAAAGTTACAAGATTATGTGCTTGAAGCCCAATTCAAAATATTTTGGCTTCAAAAATGAAATCGTTTACTTTATTCTACAAATAAACGAGTCGGTTGATTTTCACGTCAACTACTAGAAACTTTCCTTGAGCTGCTCCACCTGAAGACAAAGCACTCACAGCAGGTGAGGCGGCAGAGGGCAGTGCACACGTGCACGGGTTTATTCCAACGAAACGTGTTTAAACATAGCTCTTTAATTTGTGGATGGCTGCAGACCAGTTCTCTCAGCAACTTAATCTCACTGGAGTACCTCTCAACCAAGGTTCAAGCAAAACAATGGTTTCCTAGGGGATCTGCTGGGCCAGTTAAAACTCAAGGCAAAGAGGTCAGCTCATAACGTTATGACAACTGGATTTTTAAATTCCTAAGAGGTCCTGACAGATGTTCTTCAAGGACGCATGGTGATCACAGGGGCTTAGTATTGTTTTCTGGAAAACGACGCTGAATTGGTGAGAAAATGGCCAGGAACATTGCACCAAGTACTCTTTCCATCCTGACAATACACCTGCTCGTTCTGCAGGGGTAGCAGAATCCCCGTGGGAAACTTGACTTCATACACCCCAAGGCCCCCATCTTGGCCCTTCATACTTCTCGAGGACTCCCAACTGCTGCCTGCCCAGGAGTCAATCAGAGTGCAGAATTCTTCAAGGAAGGGGAGAGATGGAAACACCTACAGCAGTGTGCAGACTAGACGGAGACTGTGTCGAGAAACGATGGCTTCACGCTTTCTTTTTTTTTAA